TTATGAAATGTATGGAAGATTTCCATGAAGCATCTGGCCTCTTCTCCATTAATTGCGCTAAATCTAACATCTTTTTAACAGGTGTTTCTGATTTTGAGAAAGAAATCATTACTGCTACGGTTGGGGCCCTAATGGGAGACTTTCCCGTTAGGTACTGAGGGGTTCGTTTGGCTCCTTTAAGAGTATTTGTAGCACAATATTCCCCTTTTCTTAAAAAAATTGAAGAGTTCACTATGAAGTGGAAGACAAAGAACTTGAGTTATGCATGTAGACTGAAACTAATTCGTACAGTGATTCAGGGTGTTTAGTCATATTGAATTCAAGTCTTCCCGGCCTATTCCCCGTGCCGTTATTGAAAAATTGTGAGTCACTATAGACACTTTTTATGGGGTGGTCCGAATGCAAATGTGGCGTGGGTAGATGTGTACAAACCTAAAGGAGGATTAGGACTAAGAGACTGTAAAAAAAGGGAACTCTGCATTCCTATAAAAAATACTATGGAATATTCATATGAAGAAGGACATCTTGTGGGTTAAATGGTTCCACAGTGTGAACTTAAAGAACTGCTCCATCTGGGATTGGACACATCAGACTGGTGTATCCCCGCTTCTGAAAAGGCTTATCAAGATTAGAGATGATCTGTGTGCTCTTCTTGGTGGGGGAAATGGAGGTTATAAACTGTTTTAATTCTGTCCTTGTTCTTGGGAAGATTAATGCCGGTAAGGTGTATGGTATTATGAGAACAAAAGACCACATTAAACCATGGATGAGGCTGATTTGGAAAAACTAAACCCCCCTAAATAGTATTCCTTTATATTGTGGCTTGGGTTAAGAAACCGTTTACCTACCTGTGATAACTTGATGTATATTGACATGGATAAAACATGTTGTTTCTTTATAGTACAAATAGACTCAGATGAGCATTTGTTCTTTAAAAGCCCATTTACTAGTGTTGTGTGGAAGGAGGTTGGACAATGGATAAAAATGAAGAAAAACACATCTACGTTGTTGAGTACAGTTAAATTGTGCATGAAGGAGTATGGGGGTGCGAGACTCATGAGTAAGGTTGCTCGTTTAGCAATGTATTGCAACTGTGTATTCGGTGTGGAAAGCAAGGATTGAAACTATTTTTGCCCATAAACAATTCACCGTCAATGGTCTTGTTATGCAAATTAGACTACATGTGTATAGGGTTCTCTTTAGACTTTATCCAGCTACTATGAATCTATGATCGACTTTTGACAATTTTTTTATATCCAGCTTTGATGATTCAGAATGATGTGTTGCAGGTGTTGAAGAGAAATGGAGGAAAACTAGATTTTGATGTAATTGTGTGAAGGTGTGCTGAAGCATAGACCTGTTATGCTCATGTCTCACCGAGGGCATGCCCCTTTTGTGAAATATAATACTCCCTCTATATTTTAAAGTTCCATACACTTTCCATTTTGTGATATATTTAAAAGTTTCACACTTTACCTTTTTGATAATTTTTTCCTTTAAAAATATTTAATTATTCTTACTTTACCAGTTGGTATACCGTGGGAGCGGCTCACAATGAGCATCCTGCTCCCACTGCTTCCAGCCTTTTCTTTTTAAATTGTAACAGCATGTTGATGTAACTCGTATATAAAGAAATGTAACTTACATTGAAAAAAATGTAACTTAAGTCAATTTGAAATGTAAGTTATCTAAAAACAGAGTATAAGAAGTAAAATATTGATTTCAATGTAAATAATAAAAAAAGAAATCTAATTGTCCAATTTTTTTTACATAAATAGTGTATATGTTTTGTTTTTAATATCAAGGCTATAAATATGTTTTTTTATAATTTGTTTTTGAATACCAGGGACTTGTTGTGTTGTGTAACTCGCATTACATTGTGGTGTAACTCGCATTATAGGAAATGTAAATCACGTGTAAGTGAGATGTAACTTGTTGAGAAAATTTGACATGTAACTCACGCTTATAGATATGTAACTTTAGGCAAATTCTGATGTAACTGGAGTGTGCGCAAGATGTAAATTGAGGAAGGTCTAAAATAATTCACAACAGTCATCTTCAACATATAACGAAGGTGAGTCTTCTTCATTAGAATATATACTTTTATATTAAAAAAATTAGTACTATTATACATATATATATATAGGGTAAGGTTCAAGCGAGAAGAACCCTTTGGGTGAGAAATGAAAATGAATCTCAGCCATTGAATTCGACTAAGTTACAGTAAAAGACACTTCATGATGCACTGAAATATGCAATCTAGCACGGTGGCATTTCTGTAAATACTTATGAAAAATCCGTATTACACGTGTCTAGTGCAATATGAAGCTATTTCGGTGCAACGCTGTCAAATATTAATGCAACATGAAACAGTTTTAGTGCAACATGTGCAAAATTTAAATATTACAGCAACATAAAGCCAATTTTAGTGCAACTTCGTAAATCCAATGGCTGAGATTCATTCTCATTGCTCACATTAGATGCATTTTTCACCTGAACCGATATATATATATATATATATATATATATATATATATATATGTATATATATATATATATATTAAAACAAGCAATTAGCTTTAAGTCTTTAAATTTGCCCACACGTGCGCAGTCCAGATCCAAATTACGGCATGGTCTGCAATATTCAGGAACAAGGCTTAGCTGCATATCGCCGAAGTTTTACTTCAGTCCGGAAGGGATGGCGTGAAGATACTCACAGCGGCCACACCGGCAATCGACCTAATCACTACATCTGTGCAACCAATTTAAGGCCAGGGAAGACAATTGCACCAAAGGCGGTGAGGCGACGGCGGAAGGAGTGCAGAGGAGTTCCACGGGGAGATGAAACAACGAAGGAGATGAAGGGGATCTGTAGATTTGCATTTTTTTTTAATACGAAGCTTACAACGGTATCGTTTTGGGATCGACACACCATGAGCATGGTGGGCCGATCCCACGGTATAAATTGCGTACTTTTTCTACTTTTTATCTTCTTTTTCCTACTTTTTCACATTCTCTCCTACTTTTACTATGTTGTTCATTATCCCTACAATTCTCCCTTAAATATTGTGTCCAAAGCTAACGTAAAAAACATTAAAATAGGGAGGGAGTGTCAGTTTTGGCTTAATACAAGTTTTATTAGTAATTGTCCTATATAGGATTAAAACTAAACTAAACTCCCTAAATAGGACTACAAGCTTTTAATTCCCTAAATAGGACTCCGAATTACCATTATGCCCTCCTATACAATAACATTACAACCCTAATTCTAATTCTATCTCACGTATGCGGCTCTTCTCCTTCAATTCGCAGAAACCTGCGCTCACAGATCCTCCTGCGCAGCACCTCTACGTCGAGCCATGGAATTCGCCCCTTTCTCTGGTGATTCTACACCTCTTTGACACCACCGCAGCTTCCACCATCGCCGATTCCGGGATTCTTCTTCTTCTTCTTCTTCTTCTTCTTCTTCATCTCCTCCTCCTCCTCCTCCTCCCCCCCTCCTTCTTCTTACTTCTATGTTCTATCTACCCACTCCTACAATTAATCAAGTATTGGGTGTTTTGTGTTATCAGTAATTACATCCGTTATTTTTTAATAGCAACAATTTAACTTTAATAACAACAGTTTAACTTTCACACTAATCAACACACATTTTGACCATAATTATATTTAATTGTGCATTAACAAACAATATAAACACTTAATATTTTGGAAGCACACATTAAGAGAAATTTAGCAATATTTTATACATAATAATTAGATCATACGTACTATCGTATACTTCGTATATTAGTAGAAAATCATGCTCAAAGTAACATATATATGAACAACGTTAAATCTAAAGTGTTACAAACTTACAACTATTAAGGAACGAAGTAAGTATTATTTGTCATGTGGGTTTCTATAATACTATCGTATGCTTTTCCGGTCCTCTTTTAAAAAATCCTCCTCAGGATAAGCAATGAACTTTATATACCTAAATCGGACGAAAAGGACTACGAGCCCGTTTGGTAGCACCAAAATCGGCTGTTTTGGCTGATTCTGCTGAAATTTATGAAGTTCTTGCTGAAGTGGCTATATTGGCTGATTCGATTTAAGAAAGAAATATTTTTAAAATACTCCCCCTGTTCTCTAATAGATGGGAGTATAGCATTTGACACAAGATTTAAGAAGAAATTAATATGGGTAGAATAAAAGGTGTAGTGAGTTGTGTGTAAAAGAAAAAGTAGGAAAGAAAATAAAAAAGTAGGAAAGAGAATGAGAGTATATAGGTATATTTATTGAAAAAACTTTCTAAAAATGGAAAGAGAGAAATGTATTAGAGAACATCCCAAAATGGAAAGAGAGACATGTATTAGAGAATGAAGGGAGTATATTTTATTAATAAAATAAAGAAAAAATTAAATGTAAAAATATCTACAGTAAATTCAGCCAATACAGCCAGAAAAGTAACTCCAACCTTACTTTTTCTGCTTATTACACTATTCAACGCGCGGAAACAAAAATTATGTATTTGGTGAAAAAGTTGGCTGATAAATCTGATAAACCGAAAAAAGTGTTACAAAATGGGCTCCACGTGACAAAAGTTTTATTGCTTTGAAAATTTGATTGGTCACTCAAAACTACTACTCCCTGTTTGGATAAGAAAAAAGAATATTTTTGGAATATTTTAAGGCATCAACAACTTTCCTTTTCTTTTCCTACGGTTTATGTCACTAAAAACGATTTTATTTGAACCGGTTCAATCATTGATGAGAGTATGAGTGAAGGTTTTCTTTAGGAGTGTTTTCAGTCCCGAATCAGATCGAACCAAACCAGACTTCCGTAGTTATAAAATACACAGAACAGATGTTTATCCGACCAGACCACACCACATCCCATATGATATTCAAAAAGTCTTGGTGTACACCCTGGGTTACACCCTGGGGTACACCATATATAAACCTTCTTTTTTACTGCTTTCTTTACCCCTCATCTCACACAACCCTCCCCATCCCTCACGCACATTTTCTTTCTCTCCCACATCCCTCTCTTTCTCTTCGTTCTCTGCTTCTCACCTTTCTCTCTGTTTTTTAATTTTCTTTTTTCACATATAAGTTGTGAACGAAGAAGATGGAGCTGCGACGGAGGACAGAAATGGTGGGCTGTGAACGAGGAAGATGGTGGTCCAAACAACGCTAGGGACGAAGACTTAGGTGGGACGGGTGGTGGACATGTGACACAAGGCGTCAACGAAGTTCCGATATTTGAAAGCCGGGATGATTACAGTTGTGACGGGGAAGAGAATAGCAGGGAGAAGACGAATGAGATGTTGGAGGTATTTTCTTTCACACACACAGATAACTTACATACGCAGTGTCGGTGTGTACCGACAACTAATGTCGCTGTGTACAGAGTAGTGTCGGTATGTATAGACAACTGAAGAAATTCTCATTGAGTTAATGTGTACCTACAAAGATGAATGTTGTATCTATGAATGAGTTATGTATCTATGAATGTTGTTAATGTATACCTACAAAGATGTATTTGATTTATGAATGTGTTAATGTATACCTATCAAGATTTTTTTATATCTATGAATGTTGTTAATATATACCCTACTACTATAATGTATACCTACAAAGATGAATGTTGTATCTATGAATGAGTTAATGTAAAATGATTATTTGATTATGTGAACAGATGGAGATAACAATGGTGATGAATGTGAACAAATTCGAAAGATAGGCATGAAGTCTCCTACAAAAGATGCAGTTTATGATTTCTACAAAAAGTGTACATATGTCGGTGTGCACAGACGAATGAAAGGCTCCTGGGTGATTGTACTGACAACTAGTGTCGGTGTGAACAGAGTAATAGTGTTTTTGTAGGTGTACACAGACAGTACTTTCTTTGTAAGTGTTTGTGTGACAATATGGTTTGAGTTTAGTAATATGGTTTGAGTGGTTAACTTGTTATTGTTATGTAAGATTAACGAAATGTAACGGCTTTTGTTGTGTGAGATATATACAAAAGTGAGAGATTTATGATTCTATTTGGTTTGTAAGTGTTATTTTGCCAGCATGATTGGAGTTGGATTGGAGTTGTCTGTCAGCTTCATATGATATGCCTGTGAGGTTCATATCGTTGTCTATGTGCTTTATGGTAGTTGTTTGTGAAATTCAAATAGTTGTGTGTGAGTAATATTGTTGTCTCTAAGATTCATATGTGTTAGTGTAATTTAAGAGACAACACATTCATATATACATATATGTGTGTGTGTGTACAAATGCTACCAATCACCCTTCTTTTTATTTATTTCAAGTCCTTTCAGTACACACATAGTAATAACAACTACACAGATACTATTGTCGGTGCACACATACAATAATAACAACTAAGAGATATTACTTTCGGTGTACACAGACAATATGAACAAGTCACAAACATATGTGTAGACATAATAATAGCAAGTACATAAATATTTCCCTCCTCGTTGTTGTAGCCTACCTAAAGCGCCCTGGAAGCGAATGAATTCACATGCAACAATATTACTCACAAACAATTCCAAGAAGTTTATAGACAATTCATATGAAGCTCATAAAATAACAATGTGAAATGCTTCATCTTGTATAATGTTGTACATTATTGGTTGTATTGTTTTGTACAACGTTGAACACTTGCCCAAGTTGATTGTATCCATCTCTTTACAAAATCAAATAGTTCTATTTATTGAACTACAATATTGACATACATCTTTCATACATTTTGTAGGTGACCTACACAAATCTATATAAATAATACATTTATTACAATATTTGTGGGTAAAGTCAATGAGAATGTCTTCATTCTTCTGTACACACAGACACCAGATGTTATAATCATTGAGGACGTTGTCATTCATCTGTCGCACCTCATCATCATTTTTCTCAGAAGCCGAATCACCTTCCTACAAACGTAAATAAATATGTAAAAAGTTAGACAAACACAAACTTCTTTATGAAGACATGCATATGATAGGAAGTAGTCTGTGAGCACAGACACCTGTTATGGACAGATATGCACAAGCACAAAAAAATTGTTTGTGAGCACAAACTAAATGTGAGGCTGACAGACATTTTTTTTAAGAAACAGACACACAACTTTTATGAAGCCCACAAACAAGTACTACGTACTATAAATCTCACAAAAACCTAATTGTAGCTCACAGACATCAATATGAACGTTACAGACAAATCATATGAAGCTCACAGACAACTCCAACCATATTAACAAACTAACACTTACAAACCAAATGACTTCACCAATCTCCCATTTTTGTATAAAACTCACACAAAAAAGCACACTTAGCTAATCATACATAACAACTCACAAACAACTACAACTCAAACCATATTGGCGCACAAACACTTACAAAGCAAATATTGTCTGTGTACACCAACAAAAAGCACTTCAGAAAATACACAAACAAATCCAATAGTTTCATTTCATACACAACAATATGAACGACACAAAAACACCAAATAGCTTCAATAACCTACCACTTTTGTATGATTCCACACAAGAAACTCACACACACTTTGGTAATCTTACATAACAACTCACAGACAACTCCAAGTCAAATCATCCGGGGATACAGACACTGCAATTTCGAACACACACAACCAATTATTGGTTCATACCTCCATTTTTTTTACTTTTAATACACATGAACATCACCTAAACTATGAAATAACAACAAATAGCAAGATTGATCTCACATGAAACAACTAACCGATGTAAGTATGCACCAACAACCTCACAGACACTTCACTACTCTTACATAACAACTTACAGACAACTCTATGTCAAATCATCTTGCCACACAGACACTGCAATTCGAACAGAAACACAACCAATTTTTCCAATTTTATATTCTTCAAACACATACACATCATCTAAAGTACCAACGTCAAATTCAGCAAGATGTAAGCATATTCATGAATAAGTTCAACTTAAATCCAAAACCAAAAATAATATAAAATGGATGAGTTCAAACATACCGTTGGGCCATTCCGGACAAGCTTGTTCGCACCATGAAATACCCGCACACCTCCGCCTTCAGCCGACCGTCGTCTATGACCTGGGTCTTCAATGATGGAGTGGTTGGAGTATAGGAGCGACCCTTCACAGTAGTTTTTGAACTGTTTGAGGCTTGTCGATGCGATCCGGGGAAAACGTGAAAGACAGAAAGAGGCTGGTAGGGAGGGAGGCGCAATTCTTTTAGAAGAATGGAGCGGATGAGTGAGATACGTGAAAGAAATTTGAAGCCAAAATAGAGGGGTAATTTTTTTGGGGGAGAGTATATATATGGTGTACCCCAGGGTGTAACCCAGGGTGTACACCAAGACTTTTTGTATGATATTATCGTTTTCTCTGTTTTAAAACGCGATCATGAGTTTCTTCCCTTTCTTTTAAAAAGTACTCCGTATCATTTTAAGAGAATCCTTTAAAAGCAATCCTTTAACTTTCTGAGATTTGTGCCCCACCCCGTATAATCGAGCAAACTCTGTATAGAAAAGAAAAGAAAAGACTCGGACAACAGTAATAAAAGAGGAGAGGGGGATAGAGATGTGGATTCCAGCGGCATCAGAATCCACCAGTCCTCTGCTGGAATCAAGCAAAGAGAGATGGTGGGTGAAGGTTCTGGACAAAGAAGAAGCCAAAAATCAGATTCTGTTCGCCCTTCCCATGATTCTCACCAACGCCTCTTTCTACTTCATCACTCTCGTCGCCGTCATGTTCGCCGGCCACCTCGGTGAGCTTCCGCTCGCCGCCGCCAACCTCGGCAATTCCTGGTCCTGCGTCTCCGGCCTCTCACTCATGGTTCGTACCTGCTCTCATTAATTACTGAAATTATTGCTTCCTCTGTATTTACTTTATTTCTTAATTCTATCCTTTCATTCTTTTGCAAAAAATCGTTATCCTTGTTGAGCGAGTAATTAATTACTACCTCCGTCCCATTTTACGGGCATGCTTTACTTTGGTACAATTTTTAATAAAGTGGTTGAAAAAGTAAAAGTTGTGATCGTTGAAATCTGAGTATAGTAAAGTGAAAAGTTGTGAACCATATATTTATTTCCAAAAAGAGAAATGTGACAATTATTTTAGGTCAATTAAAAAAGAAAAGTAAGACATGTAAAATGAGACAGATAGAATATTAATCATACTTGGAATTTTTTAATTAATACTCCGTATAAAATACACCATCCACCCTTCTACAACTTTGGGCAATTGGAAATTGGAATAGTAAGCAAAAAGTTGTCATTGCCGTTCATAGTAAGGTCTAAGGAGGGGACAAATAATAAAAAATTTAAAACTATTCCCAGTGTAAATTTGTCGTTAAAGAAAAAGCTAAATTTGAGGTTGTACTATATTTCCTAAAATCATAATAGTCATATGCAGATAAAGATGGTGTTTGGTAAATGATGGAAAATCATGGTTCGACTATTTTAGTGTTTTCAATAATTTGGTAAATAAAAGTTCGGCACTAGCGTTGTTGGACGGAAAGCTCAAATAGAAATGTCACAAATAGGAGAGTTTTCAGTTAGCGTTTCGAAATATGACGTTTTGTACAAACTATATGACCACACAGCTAAATTACCAAACATTTTCTAACAACCCGCCAACTTATTGCGCTAGTCAAACTCGCTGACTAAATCTGCTATTGACAATCCACTAACATAATTCGCTATCCGCTAAACGCTAATCGCTAAAATGCCAGAACGCCTAAAGAGAAATTTGATGTGTACTATATTTGTGCAAAACTCTATAGATTATACCCCGTAGTTCAATATTGATCAAAATATACAAGTCAAAAGGGATTTAATGCATCAAACTCTCATAATTTAAGAAATACGTCAAATCTCCTTGTGTTATAATTATTCATGTGCAAAACCTCTTTCAAGAATAAATTAAACAATTTGGATACACTTGTTTTAAAAAAATGGTTGAATATGCAAGTATGCATATAAAGAGTTTTGCGCATGAATAATTATAACACATGGAAGTTTGATGCATATTTTAAATCATAAGAGGCTAATTTGCCAAATTTATATTAGGTATTTCACGTGAGGGTTCGGTGCATTATACCTAAGTCCAAAATAAAAATTTACCACCTAAAATTCTACAGAGAGCATCTTTCCAACTAACAATGTGTACAGTGTATACGTGACATTAGAGATATAAACACACAAAGTTAAATTAGTAAATCTTTTCTCTCAATTTTTTTACATGATCTTTTATATTTTACATTTTTTGCAAAAATGTCAAACATAATGTTTACATCAAAACATTTTCTTTGACATGGCCATTCAAAAATAAGAAGAGAGATGTATGGAGAAGAGAGATGTAATATTGTGTATTAATTTATTTTTATGCGTCTATTTATCTCGTTTTATACTACTTCCGTTCTTAAATAAATGAACTATGTTGAATTTTGTACTATTCACATGTTCCACTTTGACTACGTTTTATTTATTAATGTAATAATATTTTTGTAAAACCTATTTATGAAAAAAATAATATTTATGAAAAAAATATTGTTAAATTTGTCTCATTGTAAATTTTCAAAACCTATTTTTTTTTTTAATTTTTTACTAATACAAAAATTATATATATTAAGGGAAAAGGTACAAATATTCCCCTATAGTATGGGTGTGGTAACAGATATACCCCTGTTCTATTTTTAGGAACAAATATACCGTTGAACTTTTAAAAAGATGCAAAAATATCTCTCATATTCTTATAAAGGGGAAACTTAATCCTTATTGACTTTAAATTAATAAAATAAATTAAAAATATATATATATATATATAAATTATAAATTCGAAATTTAAAAACAAAAAATTTTAAAAATGTAATAGTGTCCAACTCTCCCTTTTATAGTTTTTATATCACAATTTAATAGTGTTTAAGTATGAAATATTATTTCAAAATTTTACTATATGTTTAAGATTCTTTCGAAAAGGTGCTAACATATGTTTTGCAATGTAGAGAAAAATTATATTTTTGCATTCTTTGCACTATAAAATTACATATTTTGAAATTATATTTTATGCTAAAAATATTAAATTGTGATATAAAAACAATAAAAGGGAGAAATGGACACAATCACATTTTTTAATTTTTTTTGTTTTTTTAATTTCGATTTATTAATTTATTTTTGGTCTTTTTTGAAATTTATTTTATTAATTTAAAGTGAATAAGGATTAATTTGCTCTTTTATAAAAAATGGGGGATGTTTTTGCACCTTTTTAAAAGTTCAGGGATATATTTGTTCCGAAAAATAGAACAGGGGTATATTTGTTCCTTCACCTATACTACAAGGGTATATATGTACCTTTTCCCTATATATTTATGGTCAAAGTTGTGTCTCGATAAGTGTCAAATGTTGACCGTTGCATTTATTTAAGAACGGATGAAGTAATCTACATTGTTACATAAATAAATGAATTATCTAAAAAAGCAGTGCATTTAATGGCATCATTTATTTCGCCTATATTGTTGTAATCCACAAAAGCCCACATTTACTTCGATGAAGCTAGACCAAATAAGACGGATGCAAAGCAATGAATTTGAATAGTACTAATTTTTATTTGAATCATAGCTAAATAATCTTTGGGGTTTTTATTTGAATAGTACTAATTTTGAACCAATTATAAAAAAAGTGAGAATTTTGAAAAAGGGGCAAAAAAGTGATCAAGAAGGTCATATTAATGTCATTCCCAGATTTTAATGTCACTATCCTGTTTTAATGTCACTATCAAAAGTCACCGTCGCCACCGCCAGTGTCATTGCTGCTACCTCCCGTGTCACTACGGTCACCGCTCGTGTCACTGCGGCCACCTCCAGTGTCACTGCGGCCACCGCTCGTGTCATTGCGGCCACCGTTCGTGTCACTGCGGCCATCGCACGTGTCACAGTGACACCGCCGCAGTGACACTGCCCCAGTGACGCTGCCGCAGTGACACTGCCGCCTCCGGCCACAGTGACACATAAGTAGTGACATTTCCACACAACCCCGCTTTGACACACAATTACGCCGGTCACTGTTATTTCGGCCAGGCTATCACCGAACACCACCATACCACCACCACTGCTTCTACCCATACACGGTTTGTTTCCATTCCACCTCCCCGTCCCAACGCCCAGCACCGGAAAAACCCCAATCCCCAGCTCCAGCCCCTTCCACCTAGAACCCCGTCCCCTGATATGCTCTAACCAGTAACCACCATCCCCATCTCCTAGTCCGACCAGCCCAGCCCCCAATCCACCCATCTCCAGCCCCCAATCCACCCATCCCTAGCCTCAATCTAGCCCCAATTAGCCTAACCAAGAGTCAGCGCGCCATTTTCCACGCACCAATTCCCACGCTCAAGCTCCAACCTCTGCTGTGTCAAGCCATAAGCCTCGACCAGAGTCAGGGGAAGAAGAAGAGTGCAGACCTGGACGAGATGGCATGGGTTGGCTACGACAAAGAAATCAACGGCGGTGGGGGTTGATTGCGACAAAGACAACACCGGCAACATGTGTTGGCTTTGACGAAGACAGCAGCAACGGAAAGGGTGGCTAAGACGAAGACGGCAACGGCGGCGTGCGTGCGTTGGCTACGAGGAAGTCGGCGTTGGTCATCTCCTTCACTCCATCGCCGATTGCTGGTAGATCTGGATAGAGGAGATGCATCGCAGTTCGTTCCAAGAGGGATAAGGAGAGTCGCTGTTTCGTTACGAAGTGGAGATGGAGCGATAGACTGGAAGTTGATTTTTAGATCACATTTTTAGAAAAATCAAAACGAGTCATATTTTGGTCTTTCAAAAGTGTCCAGGTCATACGTGTGCCATTCTTTCATAATCTTTTTGTTTCTAAATTTTCATATCGTATTCCCAATAATAATTGAAATAATGACCTAAATATTATCTATATAGTTTTAGTTGACAAAAATATGACTAATATAGGATTAGACAAAAAAGTAATAAAAATAAATCAGCCCTGCAGTACATCGCACATCCCTTCCAGTGTCTTCCTCCGGAGTCGATGCGAGAATCCAGAGCTGCAGCCGCAGTGAGAGAAAGCCACCGACTGACGTCGATTCCGCCGCCGCCGCTGCACCTCACCTTGCCCTCGCCGCTGCACCTCACCTTGCCATTGCCGCTGCACCTCACCTTGCCATCGCCGTTGCACCTCTCCTTACCGTCACATACACTCTTCTTCTTCTCGTCTGCAACTCGATGGAATGAAAGCTACTTCAGTCTACCTCGCCGCACAGGACGCCGCCTAGCCTCGCCTCACCGCACATCCGCCTCTCCGCATCGTCGTGCCTTGCCTTGTCGCACCTCCTTTCGCCTCTGCTATCAGATCTATAATGGCGAGCAGAAAGCTGTCAGATCTGGGGGAGGGCGGCGACTAGAGTTCGTTGGCGGGCCGGCGGGGCTAGGTTAGCTAGAAAAATCGCGCTCACCAAACATAGCTGCATCCAAAACTATCACAATTTTAGGCTCTGTTTGCAATCACTTAAAATAAGTGATTGTGGCTTTTTTCTAAGAAAAAAGCACTTATTTTCCCAAACATTATCAACTTTTATTTTATCGGTTTTCGTGTGGAATCTACTTTTTACTTTTTCTATTACACAAAAACACTTATTTTACCAAACATTACCAACTTTTACTACTAATCACTTTTTCCAAAAAAATGCTTTTATTTAAGCACAAGCATTTGCAAACAAACCCTTAGAATGATTTACGGAGTATCATCATGGTTTTTTTTACCAAAATATTACTGAAATAAAACTTATTTACACAAATATGACTAATAGTTACTACAATGTAGTGTCATGTTAACTTAAGATTAAAAATTGAATATAAATTACTATAATTTCATTACTATTCTAGTCACTAGTCACATTTTTATAAATCATAGGATAGTAACGATACTATTTATGTAATTATTACATCATTATTTTGTGAGCCTAAGCATTACCAAATTTTGACTATTATCACAAGGCATATTTTGTTCTTTATCGGAAAAGATTTTATTAAAGGGAGTAACAAAATCACTTATTAATTTGCAAATTCATAAGCTGTTTAGTAAAAAGCTGACTGTTTGATTTAGTTCGGTTAAACAAATTTTCTTTTTTTATTTGTCTCAAAAACTTTATCATTTTTTTTACTGGCAAAAACTTTATCATTAATTAATGATTCTGGTCATTTCCATCAAAAAAAAAAAATGATTCTGGTCATTTTTATCCCCCCAAGCCAGCTACATAGAATTAATGAATGAAGTCAAGATCGGTGGCCTGGGCCCCGTGAATAGTGTGGGTTAGGTCTGGTCCGTCAATGTAACTTTAATTCCCTCCTTTCTCGACTTTTTATTCACCCTTCTCATTCTTAACTACGCAAGGGCCACCACAGATGAGTCGATGAACATGAGTCAACCTATCATATATCCATATACGCTAATTTGTTTCTAATGCCCTCCTAGTACGTAATTCTTTCTTGGGTTATAAAAAAAGGCCGATTTGATAATCTCTTGTTTTGATTCTTCGAGCAAGTATTTATCAAGCATTAAATTTTATAATTAATGTAGTTAACAAAATGTCTAAGATTTTCACTCTTTTCTAACTTATTCATGAAATTGATGACTGCTTTCTTTCATATAATTTATATCTATTTTCTTAGTGCCCGTTTGATACCCATGATTTTTGGCTTTTGAGGCTTACAAGACAACTTTTTCTTTGCAAAAATATAGGCAAAAATATACTCCATTTTTCATCAAACACCCGACTATGTTTGGAAGGCATAAGGCTATGTTTGGCACACAAAAAGCACTAGCTTCTAGCTTCTCTGTTCTTTAAAAAGACCTTCAAAGATTGTAGTTGTATGTTTGACATGACATTTTTAAAGAGCTTTTCATAAATTAAAAGATCTTTATTGAGATGCTACCAGGTGTAGCATCTGAGAAAAGCTCGTGACTTCTAGTATTAATCAATCCTAACAGCTTCTATGCTAAATCGAACTAAATCAAACAGTCAGCTTTTTACCAAACAGCTATCATCTTTTCCTTTTAAGATCTTTTTAGTCACTAAAAGCTCATAAAAGTATCTTTTTAGCTAGTTGTGCCAAACATAAAAGCTTCTAGTTATATGTTTGACATGACAATTTTAAGAGTTTTTCAAAAATTAAAAGATCTTTTTTGAGATGTTACGGGGAGTAGCATCTGAAAAAAGCAGTGACTTTTAGTATTAATTAGTTCTAACAGCTTGTATACCAAACCGAACTAAATCAAATAGTCAGTTTTTTACCAAACAGCTACCACCTTTTTCTTTTAAGATCTTTTCAGTCACTAAAAGCTAACAGTTATTAAAAACCTCACAAAAGTATCTTTTCAGCTAGTTGTGCCAAACATACCCGTAACTTTTGATTTTACGGGCTGAATTGTGTAAAATAAAAAAAAGTAAGGTCATAGTTACTTTTCTGGCTGTATTGACTGAAGTTACTGTAGACGACTATTTTAGCTATTTTTTCATACAATTTTATCTTTATTTTTTAATAAAATGTATTTTAAATTATTATATTTCACGAATTAGCAGAATCAGCCAGTACAACTACATCAGTCAGAACTTCATATATTTCAGCAAAATCAGTCAATACAGACGATTTGACTATTACCAAACGGGCTCTTAATGAAATACTACGAATATACGAGTATTAATTTGTTCCACAAGTCAACATATCTAGCCGTAATTTCTGAAACTTCTCTAGGTTTGGCTTTAGCAGACTAAACTGGTTTCGTTGTAATTTTAGAAACTTGAGTACATTCGGCCAATTTAGCGTAACTAGGTGGGGTATAATTATTTTGTTTATCCAACTGAATGATGTAATGATCAAAATTTTTAAGGTTGCGGTTATATTTCTTGCCAAGTTTGCTTAAGAGGATAATTTTAATTTTTTTCATATACTTTTTTCCTTGTGTCATTGAAATATATACATTTGAAATACATGCTTTTCATATTCAAAATTATCAATCAATTCAACATAATTTCAGCATTACCAAACAGGCTCTTAGTTTTCATTTTTTTTTTATTCTTGCTATGTATTTTAAAGATTGCTACATTCACTTTGACACATTATTTAAGGAGGAAAGTAGTAGGAGTAATGAATATTGTAGAAAAAGTAGGAGAGAAAGTGTAAAAGTATGAAAAAGAAGATAATAATAGAAAAAATAAGGGTAATTGGGTATTTTTAAATCGAAAGTTTATGAAAAGGGGTGAGGTAGCAAAATTTTAAATATATTCTAAAAAGAAAAATGTATTAAACTTTAAAATACAGAGGGAATATATTTCTCTTCATTCTTGTTAAACAAATTAGCTTAACTTTCTCTTTCTTTTTATGTCACATAAGATCGACCTTCTAAAATAGATCCTACCATTGGAGATATTTTAATTGTGCTTGGAGTATATATTTTGCAATTTCTTAAAAAAAGAACCCATCTTTCACTCTTTAAGGTTTCCCTAGAATTGACTAGTGATTTAAGTTGGATGGGTTAGATTGGATCTTAAAGGTCATCATTAGTCTTTCTTGCTGAATGTGCCCTTGTGAATCAAATTCATGTTCAATACTCGGCTTCTAATGTTTTCTTGGAGTTGTAGGGTTAACTTAGCATGAAATCTAGATAAGTAAAAAATTGGTTGATAGAAATAGCAATGTTGGGTAGAGTGGTGTGGCTCATTTGGTAGGCCATTCATCCTCAAGTCTCCTCTTTATGTGATGTCTTGGGTTCAATTCTCACAAAAAAATGAGGGAGATCCTGCTCCGAATGAGTTTTTACCTGCACAGAGTATTTCAGCAGTTGAGGAGGTAGATAATGGTAATGGAAGTAGCGAGTTAATGTGGTGGGAGGAGAAGCCTGATTATAGGTGGTGTATGTCATGCTATATTCATTCTTTAGAGTCAATACCAATAGGGAAAAATAATAAAAATACCCCAAACTTTGAAGGGGTGTGAGATGAGCACCCCAAACATGCATATGTAATTTAAATGCCCCAAACTTTGTATAAAAAGTTATTTTAGCACCATAGTCAAGTATTAATTTTTTCAAAAATGTAAATTTATGATGTTAATTGCATAATTTAAAATATTTTAGAATTCATAAAGACACAATCACATTCTAAACTTCCATTGCGAAATAAATAATGTCACCCCCAATCTATGCAATTGCACTTTTAATTTTCTATTTTAAATAATGCAATTAACCCCAAAAATTTACATTTTTAAAAGAAATAATACATGACAATGGTGCAAAAATAACTTTTTCTATAAAGCTTGGGGTATTTAAATTACATATGCAAGTTTGAGGTGTTCATTTCACACCCTTTCAAAGTTTGGGGTATTTTTATTACTTTTCCCATACCAATAAATGTTGATTGTGATCAAATCCGGATTTAACTGTCTAAGGACTTTAAAAGTTATGGAGCGTAAGCACCAACACCTAGAACATTCAAACAGAGAACTAGGAATCTCATTCATGAGTTATTTTATCCCGCAATATTGTACTTCTATTACCTACTTTGTAGATGAAATAGAGCAACTAAACACACCTTTTCTTTTAAGTTTGTAGTCCCTAGTCCGTATATAGTAAGATCCAGAAATATGTTGTTTTGTGGAACATTTGAGTATGCATTTAACATTTTCCTTCTTTAGAAACAAAACAAATGATAACCCTTTTAAATGGAGTAAACTAATCTGTCTTCTCTTTTTTAAGCCATGAAAAACTCATATGGACAACCCTTGAAACATTTGTAGGCCGGCTCACCCCAAAGAGAATTTTCTTTTGTTAATACTTCATATAAAATAGGGTCTAATGTTTACTTAACCCACTTTAGGAGAATCTTTTCTTTGAATTCTAGCATCGCTTGCTATGAAGACTTCACTTTTATATGGCTTTGGAGTGGAATATTACTATGAAGACTTCACCTTTAAGTCCTTTATATTGCTTTGTGTATACAGTTTAAAAGCTTACATGTTACCTTAAGACAATTTCATAGGTCCAATGGTTCTCAAACTGTGGGGAATAAATTACTCAAGATTACATGCCCAAATGTGTATTGTATTGTTCTTTGGCAGAAGAGGCAGATAAACCATCTGGAGCTTTATAATTGCAGAAATGTGGTTAAAATAACATTCTAAAATAATAGTCCTGTTCGTAAAACAAGTTCTTGATTCGAATTACACATATATTTATGCAAAACTAAACTTGTTTTGACTTTCTATGTATACCCTTATTGTAAGTCAAATTGAGCAACAAGTAAATAAAAAGTAGGAATAAAAGTCACATGTGCCTATATACTCCATACTAGCTAAGAATGATCATCTTTCAATATGACTAATACATGAATGAACTGATGAACATGTTCACTGACCATATATGAATTGAAATGTAATAGGTTGGTCTAAGCGGGGCACTTGAGACATTATGCGGACAAGGATATGGTGCAAAGATGTACAGAATGATGGGGATTTACCTTCAGACTTCGTGCATCATATCGTTGATTTTCTCTGTTATAATTTCTACAGTTTGGTGGTTTTCTGATCACATCTTAATTTTACTAAAACAAGAGCCTGAAATAGCAAAACTGGCTGGCCTGTACCTCAAGTTTCTCATACCCGGATTATTCGCCTATGGTTTTCTGCAAAATTTGTTGAGGTTTATGCAGACACAGAGAGTTATTTTACCATTGGTCTTGAGCTCAATTGTGCCACTATCTATTCAAGTCGGCCTCACTTATGTCTTGGTTTGGTCAACGAGCCTGGGTTTTGCTGGTGCTCCATTGGCTGCCTCAATTTCATTGTGGATATCATTCTTTATGTTGGGTTTCTACGTACTATATTCGGAGAAATTCAAGAATACCTGGGAAGGATTTTCGTCGGAATCATTTGCTTATCTATTTACAACTATGAAGCTGGCTTTGCCCTCCGCTGCTATGGTGTGGTCAGTTTATTTTTATGTGGAGTATTAATCAATAATTTTAATCTATAAAAAAGAGTTATCATAAATACAAACAACTAAGAAAGTATGAAATATATGACATTATATATGCAGTGACCATATTAATATCTTGCAGTGACCTAGGTGATGCCCGATTATACACTGTACTGACATTGTAGTATTTCCACAATAAGTGCAGTCATATTTTTGTACTTGAGTTATATTTTAGTAATAGTTGTGGAGAACCCTGAGAAAGTATTACAGACATGGTATTGCTAAGTTAGAACTTCAATAATATCCCCTTTTTGTTTCCAGCATGGAGTATTGGGCTTTCGAGCTTCTAGTGCTATTGGCAGGCATTATGCCGAACTCGGAGATAACAACGTCACTTATTGGAATGTGGTATGTATGCAGTATTTTATTATTATTCAAAGCTTGTTTGGTTTGTAACAAAAAGAAAACTTGTTTGGTGGCGTAATTTTTTCTCAAATGACTAAATGAGCTGATTTTTTTTCGAATAATATCTTGAATGGACTTAGTTATCTTCATTTAGAATAGTCACTTTGAATACAGGAAAGTGCCTAATCTTTTTGGTGTTGTGAATTCAGTGTGAACACAGAAGCCATTGCCTACATGATTGCATATGGACTTAACGCAACTGCAAGGTAATCCAATTGTGTAATAACCCCTTAACACAACATGGGTGTGTGTGTGTTTGTTTATTGGAACAAATGTAAAGCGATATTAGGGTGAAAATGAGAATTATGTATGGTGAATTAGATTGTGGATCTAATGAAGAGGGGGAAATGAAAAAATGCAGTGGTGTAGTTGTAAATAAATTTGGCCCTACACACACTCGGCATGAAAAATTATATCATTTTTTATTGTATACATTCATTTTTTTTTCATTTTTCATGAGAAGAGTACATTACAAATGAACTGCACTTATATATGTATAAATATAGTAAATACACGCATAATGTTGTATCTTCATTTTGTGGCATGCATCCAATAATTTAAAGTTGAGTGAAGTCAGTGCCGGTCCTATCTTAATTCGGGCCTGAGTCGAACTTCACAGAAGGCCCTGTAGACTATAATAGATTATAATATTTCGTAGTCTAATTTATTTTGATGTTAAAGATTAAACATCACAAACAATAACTAATTATGTTAAATGCCTATACTATTGTACTGTGCTTATATAACAATTGTTTTAAAATAAGTAATTTGTTTAATATTACTCACACACACACGGGGTAATGTTCATGTAAGGTAGATCTAAAAGTCATAATTTTTAGGCCTCTTTCATTTGAGATACTTCCGGGTCGAATTTTTCAATGAAATTTTGTGAGCATGTTCTCTTTGAAGTGTAGGTTATGTGCTCTAAATTTCATATTAAAATTCAATCGAGAAGTTAGTTAAATAATTTATTGAAAAAAACTACATTTTTGGCCTAAAAACTGTGCAGTTTTCAAAAATTTATTTCACTAAATTCCCAATTGAATTTTAATCTAAAATTCCATGAAGACGTGCTCACCAAATTTCATCAAAAAATTCGACCCGGAAGTAGCTCAAATGAAAGAGGCCTAAATTTTAAACTTTTAGGCCTACCTTACGTGCTAAATATAAACTAATGATTAGCACACACATAAACTAATATTAGTTAAACAAACGTGCTAAATAAAAAATTATTGTCAAGAAATTCGAGAACAAAATGATTTTAAAATTTAAATATCTGAAAAAGGAAAATTTTAAGGCTAGAAAAAGAATTCCACTCTCCAAATTCAATTCAAATCCATCTCAAGCATTTTGAAATGGTCAGCTTTGTGGGTCGCAGTAGAAAAGGTAAAACAAGGGAACCAATTTATACTTTAAATTCACACATACGGAGTATGTATAATAGAAAGTATTTTAAATTTTGGGCCCTAAATTTCTAACATTTTCTGGGGCCCTGAGGCCTTTGCCTCATTGGCCTCCAAGTAACCACGACTCTGAGTGAAGTGTATCTTTGAAACATAAAACAGCACGAGAGTGTCGAATGAGCTGGGAGCTGGAAAACCTGAGCGAGCTAAGCAAGCGGTTGCAGTGACTTTCATGTTGTGCGTCCTTCTCGCTTTGGCAACCGCTCTTTCTCTCATCATTGGTCACAATGTTTGGGCTGGCCTATTTAGCGATAGCTCTGTTGTCATTTCAAAATTTGGATCAATGGCACCCTTCCTTGTTACCTCATTTATGTTTGATTTTTTCCAAGGAATCTTATCAGGTCAGACATGCACATCTAAACTTACACAAGTTTTCCCCGTATATACTCTTCTCCGAGTTTCAATTTATATTTTTCTTTTTTATGTGAGCAGCGGTAGCTAGGGGATGCGGTTGGCAGCACTGGGCTGTGTGCATAAACTTGGGATCATTTTATGGCATTGGTATGCCAATTGCAGCAGTCTTGGGTTTCAAGTTCCAACTCTATGCCAAGGTAATTAATCTAGTTGTGGATGTGATGCATATCTTAATTGTCTGACCGTGGTCATCAAAAAATATTTATTATTTTCGTGGACGGAGTTTGTTCCTAAAATTCAAGGTAAAAGGTTATGAAACATGAAAGTTGCTGATCAACTAAAGTTACAATTATGACATGTTACACAATGAAATGTAAAGTTAGAAACTCACATATAAGTGTTTCAAGTACTTATGTAGTCTTATAAAAACAGGACAGTCTCAAATCACACTACAATATCTTTCTATTATGTTAGGATGAAATCTCATATCTTAATAGATCAAAGGTTTATTTTTATTTTTTTAATTGCAAATTTGTGATTCCTATGAGATTGTGTGGAGTGTTAATGAGAAAATTGTGGCACAGGGATTGTGGATTGGGTTGATATGTGGTCTGGCTTCTCAATCATGTGGTCTGTTGTTGCTAACTATCTTCACCAAGTGGGACAAAGTGGAGTTAGCACCTAAAACTGATAAAGAGAAAGCATTGCTGGGTTAATTAGAGCATGAGGGTTCCTTTACTTCCTTATTTATGTAGAGTAGATGATTTTCTTTATGAGGATTACTTTTATGTCTTTATGAGGTGTTCTAAACTGTAATTTAATTTCAGCCTCATCTCTTCTGCAATGAATCTCTCATGAGAACCTGAAATAAGTAGGGGTATAACTTTATAGTTACTCCCCCAATCTAAAAAATGATGAGCTGCTGATAAATAAAGAATTAAATATATTAAATGGATGTATTTTTTGTGGTCACATTTTCTCCTTTTTGAAATACTCTAAAACCGTTCATCATTTCATGTGTTCTCCCATTCTATTTATTCTATTTAGGACTCCTTTTTATCTCTTACCGGTCTTTTGCTGGTCTAAAACGGAACTGGATCAGGACATCAGAAGGTTATCAAGTTGTAGTGCAAGCTCAAAAAATATACATAGTATAATATACCCTCCTCCGTATTTAAAGGTTAACTACAATAGGTTTGAGCACATTATTTAAGAGTGATTTAAGAGTGAAATAGTAGGGGTAATTTATAGTGTAGAATCAGTAGGAAAGATGGAGAAAACATAAAAAAGAGTAGAAAAAGTTAGGGGTGAACATAAAAACCGAACTGACTTGTAATAGTATCGAACCGAATATTGGTAGTGGTGGATTGAACCGGGCCGGTTCGGGCCTCGGGCCTAGGCCCGGCCGGGCCTCGGTTCAGTAATAGCAGGCCCGAGCCCGAACCGGGGTAGGGCGGTCCCGGGTTCGGTTCCGGGCCAGTCGGGCCACCCGGTTTAATTTTTTTTTTTCCTTTCTTCCCCCCCCACCCCACCCCCACCCCCCCAAACCCCCCCAAACCGGCCTAAACAGATAGCCCAAGCCCAACAGCCCCAAAAAATGAAAAAAATTAAAACAAAAATAGATTTGGCCTGGACCCGGGTCCGAACCGGCCGGGCTGGGCCGTCAAACCCATGAACCGAGCCCGGAACCGCCCCACCCCCGGGCCTCCGGCCCGAACCGGACCCGGACCCAGAAAACCGGGCCGGGCCGGGCCCGCACAGTAGCGGGGCGGGCCGGTCCCGGGATGGGCGGCCCGAACCAAGGCCATGCCTAAATATCGGACATTTAAATAATTATATAGTTTTTTATCATGGAACGAAATTGTAATGTTTTAAATGGGTATGAGATTGATCCTAAATTGTAATGTTTCAAAAAATGTGTAACACATTTTTATATATCTTTTCCAAACAAAAAAAATTCTTATTCAAATCAACAACTTTATAGCCCAAGTGTTCATTCAATTGTTCCAAAATAGTTAAATGTGTGTGTTTATATAAACATTGTTATTTCTTTTTTTAGATAATTTATGTTATATTTTGATTCAAAACCAAATGCAACACACTCTTCACCAAAATGCAAGGATGGGTACACTAATCGGGAAATTTGATTGGGCAGTAAAAAACAAATTGGATAGGAAAATGATTTTTTAGAATATTTTATCATCATTTAAAAGCATACTTTTAGTGACACACTTTAATTAAGTATTCTCCCTTCATCCCGGAAGAGGACCTAGCGCGGCTAGGGTTTAGTTTGGGCGTATTCATTGCGCTAGTTCACCAGTATTCACGGCCGATTCCGGCGACTTGGCAGTCGAATCGCGAAAGGGAGTGCCGCTCTCTGTCCTTTGCATGACGTTTCTTTGTCCACAGTTCGATTTTTGCAGACCAGGTTTATTTGTCCCATTATAATTTTCAATTTTTTTTTATTTCCAATCCATCTCTTCAAATTTGTCGAATACGGTATTTAGTAATATTTGTATAGTTCTAATTCATTCTTATTTTATTATCACTTTAATATTTTATCAAGAAACGACTTTACTCTTCTTAAAAAAACTACGCCACTCTTAAAAAGGCTCAATCTTAAGGTGACAGAGATAGTATAACAATTAATAGAAAAATAATTTAAATACTCCAAATGGGATGTTAATAAGTATCCAAACTTGCACATGTAATACGAAGTATATATACTCCGAATTTTATATAAAAAAAATTATTTGAGATGTTAATAAGTATCCAAACTTGTTAATAAGTATCCAAACTTGCACATAAAATTTATGTAATAAGTATCCAAACTTGTTAATAAGTATACTCCAAATGGGATGTTAATAAGTATCCAAACTTATTTACATAAATTTATGTAAAATTTATGTATCTCAAAAATTTATTTGAGATGTTAATAAGTATCCAAACTTGTTAATAAGTATACTCCAAATGGGATGTTAATAAGTATCCAAACTTGCACATAAAATTTATATATACTCCAAAAAGTATATATAACAAACTTGCACATGATTGTATGTTTTTTACAAATATAAATTTATTAGAATATAATTACATAATGTAAAACACTCTCAGTTTTGTTAGAATGCAATTAACATTTTAAAGTTTCATTTGAGAAAGTAATAAAATTACACCCATTACAATTTAATTTTAATTGTATTCTCATAAATGTTTGGTGTGTTTTCAATTATGCACTTTAACGCCATAAAATTACATTTATGACAAAATACTATCGTATATGATTATGATGACAACATAACTTTTTATATAAAATTGGAGTATATGTATTACATGTTCAAGTATGAAACATTTATTTCACACTTCTTCTCTTAATTAATTATTTCCCCAATAATTATTACGGAGTACTTCATTCGTTCTTAAATAATTCCGAACACTCCCCTTTTTAAGAAATAAGCAATGCATAAAATGACTTTAATACCCTTAATAGTTGTGCACTTGTGCGGACGGATCTCTCTTCTCTTACTCAACATGAATACTCATTTCCTAACTTATTTTTGTCCAGCCACTCAGCCTTCCAATTTGTCACGTTATCTTCTCCACTCATCCCTCCCCATCTTCTTTCCTTATCCTTTTTTTCTCCAATTTGTTTTTAAATTTGAATGAAATGGAAGTCTTGCTAGAAGATTTTAGTAGTGACGGTAAAGCTTTTTGCTCCAATTATAATTTTTTCTTCCATCGGCGACATGACACACCACAACAGGCATCGATCACACCTTCTCAATTTTTTCCATTCCACCACATAATGAGTAAATCTCCCTTTTTCTATTTCTATTCTTCCAGCGCAAAGAAGCGCACCAAATGGTGATTAATAAAAAATAAAAAAATGATTTGTAGAGAACCCATCAAATGGTGCACCACTCGAGCTGTTTTTGCAGAAAAGATTAAGGATTTAATTGAAAATGAAGTAGAAGAAGAAAAAAGAATCGTTGAGAACTACATGAAACACTTATTTTGTACCCTTGTCCCATAAAACTTGATCAATATTGACTTGCACGTGAAACAATAGAGCAAAATCTGTGTGGTTGAGCATGGTGCGAAAGAGAGAAATGACAACGTTTTTTTGAATGACCATAAAATAAAATTTGGCAAATCGGTTTCTCACGGGAAGGAATAGTAGATGGTGCAGATGAAGATAATAAAGTGGCTAAATCCGAAAATGGCTAAAACAAAACTCAGACCTCAATTCTTAATGGCCGCCTATGTTGCAAAACTCAGACCTCAATTATGTGGCAATTAAGAATTAGTGCATGCCTTCTTTGAAAAAAAAAATCAAAAAAAGAAAAAAGAAAAAGAAAAAAAAACAAAAAAAAGCATAAAAAAGAAAATAGTGATAATAGTGAGTAGGGCACTACAAAAAAAACACGCGCGTAGTCACGGATTTAGTCACGGACCGCAGTTCAAATTTTCCGTGACTAACAGAGGTAGTCACGGTCGCCGTCCGTGACTAATTCCGTGACTTAATGGGCGTGACTAAATACAGTCACTGCCACATTAACTGTGACTAAACGTAGTCACGGGTTAGTCACTGTCGCCATCCGTGACTAATAATAGGCCGGAAAACTTCTCCGACGTAGTAGTCACGGTCCATAGCCGTGACTATTGTATTTTTTATTTTTATATTTTAGTCACGGACCTAGCCATGACTAATATAATCCGGTTTTTAAAAATTCCGCCATCGTAGTCACGGACTCAGCCGTGACTAATTTTTTAAATTTTCAAAATTTTTGAAAGACCGCGGTTCTGATTTTCTATCTTTGAAATTTTGAAGTAGTCACGGACATTAATCCGTGACTATATTTTTATTTAAAACGAAAAAATTTAATTCCGGACTAATCTTAGTCACGGATTAGGACCGTGACTAAGTTTTTTGTTTTTTTTTTTAAAAAAAATTCCGTTTTTTTTTTAAAAAATTAAAAATTATATTTTAAATTTTCTTTAAAGAAAATATGGTATTAGATTTTCTTTAAAATCTAATTTTTTAAAGAAAAAAGACAATTTAAACAGTAAAGCAATTAAAACATCAAAAAAACACATACAACAAACTTAATAAAAATTATGACAAACTTATAAATGTAATATGAAATGTTAAACTTATAAATGTATGATTACATGTCCGATCATCGTCGGACTCCATTATGATAAAAATTAGGATTATCTTCATTATCAGATTGTTCATCATCATCATCAACAAGAAAATCATGTGGGTCCATGAGGGGGTTGAACTGAGACATCGGTACACCGTATGCGTCATATACCATTTTTTGTTCCCACCTCATTTCAGCACGGTCTCCCCACCCACTCATCTTTGGAGGGACGTAACGAGACGAACCTACCGTTTGTGGTATAACAGATGGATCCAAAGGTTCACCGTGAGAAGTCCAATTATAATAAGGGATATTTTGACTTTGCACCCCGCTTTTTGGGTGATATTGGACTTTGCACCCCATTTTCAAAACTCTTAGACTTTGCACCCTATTTCCCCTAAAATGTCTTTGCCTTTGCACCTCATTCAAGATTTTTTGTTCACAAAATGTTTTAGATAGGGTGCAAAGTCTAAAAGTTTTGAAAATGGGGTGTGAAGTCCAATATGACCCAAAAAGTGGGGTGCAAACTCAAAATTCTCCTTATAATAATTGGGAACAAAACTGACCGCGTACAAATCATACCCAACTTCGTGTGGGTCTTTAAATTTGAGATTTTTACACTTTGAACATGGACATCTTATTTTATCACCACTCATATAAGCCGGATGTTCAAGTGCGAATTCAATAAATTCCCCGACTCCATCGAGAAAATTTGATTGCATTCTGTACAATACCGCATCTTTATCATACATCCAACTTCTATTTTGTTTATACATTATGCCTGAATATTATAATAAAAAATTATACAGGTTCAAAACTAAGGTAATTAATGTAACAATAATACTACGTTTAACTAATTTTAAGTAAT